AAAATGGAAATCTAAATTCTCTCCAGAACGTCCAGGATCACCCTGGGGAAACACCACCAGATTGAATGTATGCCTCCATCTCACTGCGGATAAGGTCATGGACAGCCTCAACTGAGACTTGATTTGCCTCTGTGCCAGATAAATTTATCCGGGAATGCATGCAATAAATCAGCTTGCCAAACAATTTTGTTTTTTACGAAAATCAAATAGGTAACACGAAGAACACTCAAAGTATCTCAAACAGTCGTATGACAGAAAAACCCATTAGGAAACATTCTGTCGATAAAAAATGAGAATATTATCTGAAGGAAATGCTTATATACAGTACCAAGATAGAGGGGACATTAATGTGGGTGGAGAGATTCATGAGACAGATACCACCAAGGACAATTAAGTGGGAATAAAACACTGGAGAAAGTGAGTAAAAATCAGACCAATGCTTCAATGGGCAAAGGTAAAGAAACCCTAGCAGTCGAGTGATAGTTGTAGTGTGAGAGAAGGTAAGGAACCTACAACACATGGAACAATGGCTGTCACATTCAACACTAACAATGAGACCCAGAAGCTACAAAGACTCGGGTTCCATGTGAAGATGAAGTGGAAATTACCATCACTTGAGAATTTATAGTGGGTAAGTAGAAAAAAAATTGTTTGGTTTCTTTAATTAAAAAGAAACCAGCAAAACTAGAATGAATATGAAGTTTTTTGTAAACTACCTCACATCTCATAAAAAATGTTTAAAACATGTCCATTCTATAAAGTACTGAATAAAAAAGTTATCTCGAGTATGAACGCTTAAGGGTAGTTACTGTGCATGGAGATTGTGTTGCCCTCTTGTTAGTGGAGGGCTATTGTTGCAGCGCAGTTCATGTTAAACACATGAATTTAGGTGGGAGTTAGCTCTCGGCTAGTGGCATGGAAAATCTCTTAGGCAGACGTGCAAGGAATACAGCAATTCTGTGTGCAGAAGTGAGGACTGTCTCAGAATTTCTATTTTTTTAAACATTTCAATGAGATAGTAATGAAATACTAATACTGATATTGACGTTTACTCACTAATCTTGCTAGTCTTCTTTTTGTATGACTTGGAAGATATGCTAACCTTAAAATCTTGATATAATATGTTAGTTTTGTGTATGTATTAAAAATAAAATTTAATCATTCATTACTTACTTCACACTTTGAGAGGGAAAATGTATGGCCAAGATGAAGGCGACCATTCATATATGGATATGGAAAGTTGACAAAATACTTTTCAGGTAATGTATCTATGGTAGGTGAAGGAGCATCTTCTTCAAATATATGCTCTTTTGACCAGAGTTGTTGAACTTGTTGCTCAATTTCCTTCAAAGTTCTAACTTTAAATGTTCCTTTTCGCTCCATTTTACTTTACTCTGAAAACATATGATGAAACAAATATAAACATACTGTAATTCAAACACTCACAACTATCACTTGGTTAAAGACACTACACCATGCAGATAATAGAAAATACCATACATCCACTGGTTTACTTGCAAGACTAGATGAATTCTATAACATGGTTAAATTTTATTTGAATAGTCAGCAGCAACACATAAAATTTTAATATAAGCATAAAACAAAACACTCTTGAGATTATAAATGTGCATTCAACACTTGGGTTCATGTGCAAAGAAAATCACCATTTATTTTCATTCCCAATGCAATCTATATATGCAAACACGAACATCTCTCTCTGTGGGTTTGTTCCTTATGCACGGCCACATCTTTAAAGCTACTAACTCCAAACTTGGGGTACAGATATAATGGTATTTTAGATGAAATATTCATAAAGATATTAAATAACTTGTTTCGAAAGGTGAAGTATATAAATAAAAGGACTTACAAATAAGTTTTTTATCATGTTAAAAAGTTCATAATTACGGGGGATTTTAATTTCTGGCATGAAAAAAAAAAGGTTTTTAGAAATTGTCAAGGATGAATTTCTTCACCAAATGGATAAGGAACCTACTAGGAATATTGCTATTTTAGATTTATTGTTAACTTCTAATACAGAAATGGTTAAGAAGCTGGAGATTGGAGAACATTTGGGTGCAAGTGATCATTGCTGAATCAGGTTTGATGTTTTACTGCAAATGGAGATCAGGAATAATGAGATTTTGGTTACAAGTTAAAAACAAAAAAGCAAATTTTGAAGACTTGTAACAAGAATTATCTGTTGTGAATTAGGCAAGTTAGTTAATTGGAAATACTGATCAAATATGAAAAAATTTTAAATATTCAAGATAGACATGTTCCTTATAGAAAAAAATGGTGACAGTCAGAAAAAGTCTAGGCCATCTCACAAAGGGTATAATGGATAAAATTTAAAAAAAAATTGAGAATTTTTAAATATGATGGGAGACTTAGAAAATTATATATCAAGAGAGTTAATTAAACAGAACACTGGGAACTTGAAAAAATTAGCTGAAAATCAAAACTTAAAAGCAAGAATTTCTTTAAATACACTAAGAATAAGTAAAATGATAGGGGTATGGCTTTTGAGGTATGATAAAGGAAGGCTCATTTCTGATTATTATGATATAACCGAGTTATTAAATTCTACTTTTTTTCTCCTATTTTCAGTAATGAAGATTTAAGCAATATTTGTCATCTTGAACACCAGCTAGATTGAACAAGATAACTGCATTGATCCTGAGCATGTTAAAAAAGAAAAAAAACTGGTAAGTTTAAAGAATAATAAGTCTCCTGGGCCAGTTAACATTTCTCCAAAAGATTTGAAGGGAGTTGGCTAATGTTACTCCTCTTTTCATGGGAAGTGATAAAAATTGTCCATGTAATTATAGGCCTGTTGGCCTTACATCAGTGATAGTAAAAGTTTTTGAATGTCTGATAAAAGATGCTGCTTTGAAAACTCATTTAATAAAGTTGAAAATTTTATTGGATAGTCAACATGGTATCACTAGAGGAAAATCTTGCCTAACTATTCTTTTGACATTTTTTGGAAGAGGTTGCTTATTTAGATGAGGATAGAGGTGTGGATTTGATGTATCTGGATATTTAGAAAGCACTTAACAAGGTACTACATAAAAGTCTTGTTAAAAAAATCATCTCTATCGGTGTAGGGAATACATTGGCTTCTTGAATAGAAAATTAGCTGGATGGAAGAAACCATGGGGTTGTTATAAATGGAGTTCAGTCTAACTGGATTAATTTTACAAGTGCAGTACCTCAAGGCTCAGTGTTATAACCTTTTTTCTTTTTAATTCATATCAGTTACATAGAAGAAGGAATTGTTAATAATATATTTAAATTTGCTGCCATGATAGTAGGCGTTATTGGCTGTGAGGAAGATGCTACTATTTTACAACATGATTTATAATTGACAAGTAAATGACAGATGTTTTTATTTTTTTAATACTAAATGCAAGGTAATGCAAGTGGGTTATCATAATTCAAATTATAAGTATAATTTGGATAGAAATAATCTTAACAGTGTTATGGAAGAAAAGGATCTTGGTGTTCTTCAGTGTGTTGTTGCTAGTAGTATGATAAATTGGATTTTGGGTTGTATTTATAGAAGTATTGAATACAAGTCTAAAGAGTTTATCATTTTATTGTGCAAGTGATTCGTCAGGCCTAATTTAGTTTTGTGTTCAGTCTTGGAAAGATATTGAATTATTTGAAAGGGTTTAGAGTATGGTTACTAGGATGGCACCTAGGATGGAAAGGTTGTCATACTAGGACAAGTTAAGATCTCTGACACTGTTTTCTCTTGAAAAAAATAGGAATTAAATGGGATCTGATTGAGGTGTTTAAGATAGTGTTGGTACATCATCTTTTACTGTATACTTACTAGTGAAAATGTTAGGACTAGGTGACACAAGTATAAATTTTGGAGGGGTATGAATAATCTTCAGCTAAGAGTTTTATTTTTTTCAACAGAGTAGTTAGCCTTTGGAATGGGTTGCCTTCAGATGTGATGAATGCAATAAATTTAATGTGGTTTAAGGGAAGGCCTTGTAAATGGTTATATGATAAGGGATGGCTTTGAATGGGACAGCCTCAGTGGACCAACAGGCTGTTGTCTTTAAATTTTATATCATGTTACACAAAAACTAAAAAATAATAATAAATGAATTTTCGTTCCCCATGTACCACAAACATAAGTTTGAATGCCCCTTTAAATTACAGTTTAATAATTTAACTTTTAAGATGTCATACTCTCTCAGGGTTTTTGCACTTAGTTTTTCATGTTCAATATCAATGTACACAACTGATGTAAACATACGAGACACCAGGATGGAGTTTTAATTTCATGCTAAGGTCTAGTAATTTAGTGTAACAATGAATTAGACTGATATTTTATTAATAGGCCGTTCTAAGGTAGGTGAATGCTCTAATGATAAAAGTAAAAAGCTCAAACTTTAATTGTTAGAGACTCAACTAAAACTTAGAAAAGATCGAAAACGTGAATTATACGTTATATAATTTATAATACTGTTTACTACTACTAGAAAGTCTAGTTCAAACTTAGTCTAACTTCTAAGCTTAATTCTAAGAACTTAAGTAAATAAGATATTTGCTTTATTCAGTTCCGAAGAGGCCGTATGTTAATAATAACTTTATTATCAAATTTGTAGCTTCCTGTTAACTTCAAATTCAAATAAATGAAATATCAAACCCCGTGTCTTGGAGTGGACCAAAGGAGTTATGTATACGTTATAGTCATCTCTCACGACATGCATAAGCTACAAGTACACACAGAGAGTTGGATCTTTAATAATAACTAAAAAGTAAAACTAAAGATCAGTACATACATGATTTATTAAATAATTTCTAATTTACGATGCAATCTGTTGGAAAAGTTACATAGCCTTTTCCCATTACACGTGCAAATATACTTCTATACAAGTATCGCCGTCTGTCGTTGTTCCATAATTCAAAGAAAAAAAAAGGTTACGTGAATAGAAACTTGCCTATTTTTATTAGCGTAAAACTTAGGACCAAACTTGCGAATGAATGTCGGGAAAGTCCTGTTCTTGTTGTAAGGAGAGTACTTTTATTTAAACCTGTGTTCTGTGATAAAGAAATGGTTGTTGCACATACCGTAGCAATTTATCTAATTGTCTGAATCTTGAATACCTAAAATGTGAATTTTTTTATGGATTTTTGTTTGTGGTGACATTCAATAGATGGCGCCATATTGTACTTGATATTTTGGTCACATACATATACACACATTATGACCATTATAGTAAGATGATGAATGTTTTGTACAGAAACTGTAGCTGTCAAATATCTAAGAAGTCTGAACAAATACAAAATCTTCTATTGTTTAGATATGTATTAATTTTTTATCTGATTAGTAATAAACTAAAGATTAGCCAATAATTAGAGGTAAGAAAGAGTTGAACTAAATTTCTATTACGATAATGTGTTTTTACTGGTGTACAGTATATCAAAAGAGCTCTTATACCACAAATTCATTAACTATTGGATATTAAATTATTACTTAGTATATATATATATATATATGAACAAAGTGTTAAGTATATTTTTATAAATCTGTATTATAAGATAATTAAAGTTCAAGCAAGTATTTATTGTTATACGATTACAAGAATAAAATCAAAAGTACGCAGAGTTTAATGTTATAGATTTTCCATTCGAGTCAATCTGACATAATAATTAATCAACTAATCATGTAATTAATGTGGTAAAAAAGCCTTAACATATATTCCCACCCCCTTAATTAATATCTAATTTTCTATACGTCGAGCCTTATATTCTCGCCCTAGTTACATACAGAATTGGGCAAGTCAATCAGACCATCACACGTGCAAGGATTGCATCGTGTTTTCTGTATTAAAAAAAAAGCAACAGTGATTTCTTCTAATGACAAGTCAGGTGATGCCCCAGGGATATAACATCCCTTACTTTGAAGTGAGAGTGGTCCTTAGTCATGTGAGTAGTGTTTGTATCCTGAGAGAACTAGAATTATTGTTTTCTTTATATAGTGCCATGTTCTCTCAATCTGGAAAATACTTAAGGTTACAAGATTTTAACAATTAATTTATTAACATTGCCTATCTATCACTTCAGTAAAAGTGCAATACAAATGCTTGTCTTTTACTTCGATCAGAGGGTTACTCTGGTAGGTTAGAGGTAAGTCTCACAACTTAAAACACTAAAATTCGGGCTTTGATACCTATAGTTGGCAGAGCACAAATAGCCCATTGTGTAGCTATGCGCTTAACAACAGCCAACCAAATCAACCAACTGATCATGTTTGTTATACATAAAAATGTTTTATCGTGTGCAAATTTGTGTTCAGTATCTTTCTTTGTGTCAGATTCAGCCAAAGTTAGGGAAGTCAATCTTCTGTTCCTCAATGTTTTTGGTAAGGCTCCAGTTATCCTACAGATGCTATCTGATTATTCTTAGAAAAATGTGTGAATCTGAGAATACCATAGAGCAGGTAAGAAGGAGAATATTTTGTGTAATGACCACAGAGTATGTTATTATATATCATCTATTTTCTCTGGACGAATATGTATACCTTTGTTCTTATAATCTCTTGTGATAGAGAGCTGAAGCTTTGCTCTTAACGAAATGCCATTTCCTACAAGTCAGAGGACCTATAGCCAAGAGGAAGAGTTAAAGGGGTGGGGAATGGTGATTGTCAAAGAGAATAGTCGGACTTGGGAGTAGACCTGTTTTTGGACATCAGATTTTTGCTGATGCTGGAAAGGTCAATGGTGACTATTTCACTGTCACTACAGATACAGGAAGAAGAGTTGACATTATCTGGTGCACCCAAAATGGCTGATCAAAATTTACCCCTGCGGTTTAACTTCAATGCACAAACGGCTTGAATTATTAAGGATCTTCTTGGCTGTGTGTGGTTTGATGCATCCCAGACTGGATGAGGAAGTTTCTACAGCACTCCTAGAGTAAGCAAATGCTGGCTCTGGTTCATACCATTCGTAACTGGTAGAGAGAGATTAGAGGTGTCATTGGTAGCAGCATTCTCTAGCAGGAGCTATGTTGTCAGCAGATGAAACAGCAGGCATGGAGTGGTGAAAAACTATAGCAAAGATATCAGCAAAAACCAGGAAATATCTAGAGATAGCTCTAAGAATCGCTTCGAGAAGGATAGGCCTGGAGCCCAGTCTCTCTCGAGACTTAGTATTAAAAAAAGCTATGAGACAAATGTAAAACATATTTAAATAAAAAATTAGGAAGTAGGAATGGGAGCACCAAAAAGTAATGAAATAAGGTAGGAATGGGCAGGGTAACATTACAACACTTGGTGGTTTTTGGCACAGTGCGGATTGATGGCCACATCCACTTTGAGTTTACACTGTGTCAAAAACCACCAAATGTTGTAATGTTAACCCGCCCATTCCTACCTTGTTTCCTTACTTTTTGGTGCTCCCATTCCTACGTCCTAATGCTATATTTAATAAGTATTTGTGTAATATTTTAATTTGCAAATATTCGTAAATTTTGTCATGAAATACTGGACATATCCCACCTTACATGGTTATACAGTAGATTTCGCGTTCTAGAATTTCTTTATGTAGCACTGTATCACCGATTAAAACACTATAAATTTAAGAAACGTTTAACATGTTTGGACAGACTGAAGTAACCTTCAGTAACCTAGAAGTAAGTTCTTACTTTTCCTGTTGTACTTATATTACAAAGTAAAATACATTAATTTAAAATTAATATAAGCAAAGAATAAGATCATACTTATTCTTAAGATTTTATAACTGAAAGGATTAAACGAAAAAGAAACGCTAAACTAGAAAATAAAGTCATGTGATGACATGTTGAAGCAGTCCTTGAATATGACCTTAAAGTGGCAGAAGTTCAATAAGTCAAAAGCAGGAATAACTGTCTTTACAGGTGGAAATCGTATTATTTACAATATAATTGGACTTATCTTTGTTTAATGCATAGTTATAGTTATTGAAAAATATCTGTAAGTTTTTATTCTAGTGGAAAGGTCATAGCCATTAAAATTTGAATTTTTCAGACTTTAACAAACTAGCATAAATATTTTTAGCTGAGAAATAATTACACCTTTGGTGTAGGTACTAGAGATTACACTATTAACAGAAGGAGGACTGTATACATGGAATTTGAAGTTGTTTCTTTTATCATAAATGTTTAAGTTCAGATTGTCATTAGTAAATGAGATATCTATGTCACGGAAATGACAGAAAGTTGGCATTTCATTGGATATCAAGTTTCAACTCCACCGGGTAGATAGAAAAGACCGTTTGTTTATAGCCTGGATCGTCGAAAGAAATTAGATCGTCTATGTATAGAAAAGTAAAACGATACTGATCCAGGTTTAGTGATTTTGAGATTAATAAATGCTCCTATTAAAAAACGATACAGATTAGCGACATTCGATTAGTAGTTAGAATCCATAGGAATTCCTATTCGTTGTTTATGAATATTATGATTAAATTCGATGTAATTATAAAACATACAGTAACTGAAATTATTCTTGCAATCCTCCTATTTAAAAGTTGCAGCCCAGCAGCTAGTGTGCCTGCTGGACTGTGGATCTGAGTTTTCTTAGTTCACGCTCCGTTATCAGCAAAATAAAATCGCACTCCGGAGTTTGGGGCCACGGGTGTATTGTAAGAGTGCCGGTCAAATCCCACTATTCGATTAGACTAGCCCAAGAGTTGGCGGTGGGTGTTGTTGACTAGCTGACTTCCCTCTAGTCAATAAATCCAAAGAATAGAACGGCTATCGCAGATAGCTCTCGAATAGCTTGGGCGAAATTCAACAAAAACAAACAGCCATCTCGTTAGGGTACAATAAATCAGTCATTACAATGGATGGCCTAAAATGGCTGCCAATTGTCTAAAGATACATATTTATGGTTACTTTTTAACAAGGAAGCTATGCTAATGACAACACTGTTTCATTTCATTATGCAACAACATTCATGTACTCATTTAGCATAGTTGTGAGATTCAGTTTTTTTGTTTACTTAATATGTGTATGTATCCCTATTGGTAAAGCGCATTTACAAAACCTTCAAACATTAGTAATTCGTTAATGTTTAATGGCTTCTAATTTGTTCTATGGATAATAAGTCCTCTTTGGGTGTGGTAACGTCACACCACCTCGCCCACAAAGATTCCTAAATAGATCCAGTACATGAATATGCTTGTCCACATTAATTCTCGCAACCTCCTTAAATCTTCATTAAGGTCAAGGTTATGGTTTCCGCCCTTTCATTTGCTTTTTAGGTAATAACTTATTAGAGATGGACTTTGTTAAAACCTAGTTTTTTGTTATATGGTGATTAAAATATCGATTTAAAATTGTGCATCCCAGCTCATTATTTATTTCCTGTACCCCGATGGGTCATTGGGTAAGTTTTTGGGGCTTCCTCGCGATGGATAAAGTGCAACTAGCCCATTGTATACCTTAGAGCTAAATAACACATATTCTCTTTCTTTACTTTTTTTGTAGACACTGCATAATTATCAACAATACAAAATGTATTGATATGCAAAACAAGCACCGCCGACATACTGCTCTTTATCACAGGGTAAATGACAAATTCTTTAACGCTGTAACAGGTAGTATTAAGAAATAATGAAAAACAGGATTTCGTAACGTTTAGTTTATTGGGGTGTAGATTCTATGTCAAGCAGTATTAGACTCGAGGAAATACCATCTTTCCTACTCCTATCTGCATTGTTATTTGTCTTGGACAGTAGTTTTGGAAGGTTTTATTTTTTCTTCTTTATCTCCACTTTGGATAATTCTCCACATTCTATTGACTATTTTCTGTAGGAGTCTATCCCTGTTGCCATTTATTCGATAGTGGACGTGACTCATTGTAATTTTCAATATCAAATAAAATAAATCCCTGAAGACAGC